GTGTGGGAATTAGGTGGAGTAGTTGTTTCCTGATAGGCGTCAGTCCATTCAACCTACTGTGGCGGTATATCCGAGACACGCTTGAACATTAAAAGTTCATTTCTTTAGATTTGCAAAAAAAACACTTCAAATATGGGCAAGAATGTCCACATACAATGATAAATCATAATATTCTTTTTCATTTTCATTTTCATTTTCATTTTCATTTTCGTTTAGAACTCGTGCATTATTATGTATAATAAAAATTCATGAAGACTGAAATATTATACATTGTTTTTTTTTCAGGATGCAGCTACTACAATTGTGACTTTAAACATCCTGCATGTGGTATTGACTCCAGGAGAAATTTGTACGTTTGGAAAACTCCTGATAGAGGTTTGTATTTTTCCTGCTTCAATGTATATCTTTTGATGATCGTAGATGAAAATATTCTTCATATATTTGGGTAAAGCATCCTTTACATTATCCAAATTTCATTTTATTAGCAGCAAATCTACCAATCCATCTTTCTCTCGTACAATCCTATATATTGCTATGCTGTTAGCACACTGACAGCACACTTGACTCGTCATTCCATTTGGATTCCAGCACATCAGCTGCGGATGTACATCTTCACCGACGGCAGGAGGTTGCCTATCTTAATGAGGATCTAGAGTTAATTTCGAATCGAGGTGAAAGTAACCCGGAAACAAAATGTCTCCGAATTGGATATAATAATGCCAGAACGGACAATTCTACTTTCTGCTTCGATGAGTCTGCTGGAGGTTAAAACGGACGCCAATATGTCTTGGCTCAATCATGTCGGTGGAATTGCAAAAGCCGCTTCTCAAAAGCTTGGAACGCTGTTCTGAACTAGGAAACTGTACACACCTCAACAGCTTCTAATGCTTCATGAAGCTCAGATCAAACCTTCTATGGAGTGTTGTTCTCATGTTTGGAGCTCCGCCTCTAAGCATGCCCTAAATCAGCTAGATTCTATCCAGAAAAGAGCCATTCGCCGTTTTTCCAAAATAATTTAATCACCAGCGATTCAAATCCAACGTGAATCGCTACTTTCGCACAGGTACCGCTATCAAGGCGCCTAAAGGATTATACTGTAGTGCTTGTGTTCTGTTCCTATAAGAAAATCACTGTTGAACTGAAAAAAAATAATGAAGCACCATTTTTCTGTGAAACCAAATCACCTTTTGCCTGAATGTGGGCCATCAAAGATAGATTGTTCTTTCAAGCGTGCAAGTTTTTGTCAAGTTTTCATTGGGAAATAAAGAACTGATCATGATATCTCCAAGAATGTCAGCTAAAACCCCCTATTGGAGGGTTTCTATTACTTCAATAGCAATAATTTCATTCTTTTATAATTCCATTTAGAAAAATTACCCAATCATCTCTGGAACAAATATTCAGCAGAAGATTAGGAATGGTTTAAATTGAAAGGGGTAGATACAGAACTGTATCCTCCTAGAGCTCTTGACACCTCACCTCACCTTGATCACATTCTGATCTATCTGCTATTGTTGGTAAGGAGCTGGTGAGCTCTGCAACAAATATTCTCAAAATCTCAATTTGACCTTCTTCACTCAGTACTGATGAACTATTTGCCATCAAAATAGTCTCGAAAGAGTCAACCACCAAATAGAAATATACCTGTGACATTAGGACTTTTGCGTTCTTTTCAACATCATAAATGAAAATGGGAAAGAAAGTTTTTGGCTTTCTACTACTCCATCTTGATACAAAAAAAGGGGTGAGTGTTCTGTCCCCAAATTTTCCTTTTTGATTTATATCATACACACTCAATAACATCTTTATCTCTGTATTTATATCCTGGACCAGGAAGTCACGCAGGTAGATATAGCTGCCTACGTGGTGATGTTAGATGGTTCCTGGGAATGCTAGGTCTTCTAATTGAAACCACAAATGTGCGGTTAGCTCCTGTTGGTGACACCGTGCATATGTGAAGTTATTCATTTTTGGTAACCAGTTGTTGTCCATCTTTGCAATTGGCTGCACCGCGTTGATGAGACCAATAGCCAGAAACACGTGTCCGCGGTTTGCCTCCATCGGTGTATACCAGTGAGGGTGACAGTGTTCCATGTAAGTGCAATTTATTACCATTCATTCAAAGAAGAACTCATGTGAATGATATCTGATTTTTAATCCACAGCGAATGTTTGAAATATAAACTGAGTAGAGAAAAGTACCTTCTGTATAATTCAGTGTTCATATAGAAGTATTTGTTTCGAAATATTTTTTTTTCTTTCGTGTAATTCAATGTTTATATGAAAGTAGCTGTTTCAGGAGGACTTTCTTTCAGTTTGTGCCTGAAAGTTACTTCTTTGCATGATCTACACATCCATATATAGGGTTACTTATTTTCAAATTGATTATTTCCCTCCTTTCTTTGGAAGATTCCCTCATCCCTTTTTTTTGTATCAAGATGGAGTAGTAGAAAGCCAAAAACTTTCTTTCCCAAAAATTAATCACTCCTAAAAATATAACCCCTTCGATATAAACAAAAATCTTATCAATTTTCCTCACTGGTTGAAATCACCACTGAACAATAAAAAGAACAAAATTGAATTACTGGTATATTATGAACCTTTTGGATTTTTTCGCACAGTTTTTTTTAAACTTGCTACTTTGGAAATCTGTTCAATGAAGCAGCCAAAAAAAGGCTGACCAAGAAATTCCAGTCGGGAGAAATGAAAATCTGCATTTAATGAACGCAAAAGAACTACTACTGTTACGTTTGAAGAAAACAGCTGCTGAATATTTTGTTGAAACTTCTCATGCAATTGGTAGTCATTTCAGTAAAATCAGAAGAATACTAGTATTTGATGAATCGACTGAAACCTTGTAGAAAAGTTCTCCATAAGAACAGAAGTACTTTTGTGAGAAATTTGCCCCTATTGATGATATTAAAAGAAGAAGTACATACCTGATAAAAATTCATGTTGAATTTGTTGTTCACATATCAATTGTTGATTGATGGCTACGAGAACTGTCATTCAGTAAATCAAGAAAAATTTTCAAAGGCTTCATACTATTTGAGCCCAACCTACATAGTACTGACAGCAGCAGCTAGACAGTACTATGTAACTTTACGCAACTACGTTAGTGACGCAGTAAAACGTAAAAAAAACAGCATATATACAATTTGTTCCTAACAAAAATTAAAACAATTCGAAAATGACATGGAGAAATCTTGCAGATTGGGGTGTTGCTACAAAATCATCCCCGCAAACCAATTGCCTGTCAATTGAACTACGTAGACCTGAAGAAATCAATGACTATTTTTGAAACGTGGCTGGACATTCAATAATAAATAATAACACTCTTTCATTCTACAATAATAATAAATTGAACGCTCCTATGAACTTTTCCCTCACCGATATATGTGATGATGATATGTTGAATGCTATCAAAGAAATAAAATCTAATGCTTTAGGTATTGACAATTTGAATATCAAGATGATTTCTTTAGTGATACCACACTGTATTGATGAAGTTAAACATATTTTCAACGAGTCCTTCAGACAGGGTCTTTTTTCAGATGTTTGGAAGGTTGCTAATATAATTCCAATTCCGAAAAAGACTGCACCTACCTCATACAGTGACCTATGCCCTGTCAGAATTCTGCCCTCATTCTCTAAAATATACGAGAAAAATGTTTCCCGTCAAATAAGAGCTTTTCTTGAAGGAAATCGAATACTTCCGTGCGAGCAGTCTGGGTTTAGCAAAAAACACGGAACACAGACTTCCCTTTTGAAATTAATAGACGAACTTGCGACATTCAGAGATCAATCAAAAGTCACCATTTTAGTACTGCTTGATCAAAGTAAAGCTTTCGATTTAGTTAATTTCGATTTACTCATCAGCAAGCTCAAGTTCATAGGATTCGATAACATTTCTCTTAAATGGATGACCAGCTATCTCACAAGCCGGTCACAGGGGGTCAAACTGGATGATAACTCATGGTCATTCCTAAATGAAACAATCTCAGGTGTACCGCAGGGAAGTATTTTAGGACCCTTGATGTTTTCAGTGTTTATTTTTGATTATCCCACTTTCTTATCACATTGTCAAGTACATCTATGCGCAGACGATATACAGTTATATTTGTCTTCACAAAACACCGATACAGAAAGTTGCGTTGCCAATATAAACACAGATTTGCACAAAACGTTCCTATTCTCGGAGAATCATGGACCGAAAATCAATCCAAATAAAACTTTGGCCTCATGCATAGGGTCTCAAAAACAAATAGTAGAAACCCAGCGTAACTTTAGGCTCACTCTCGATAACGCAGACATTGACTGGGTAGACAGTGCTAAAAATCTTGGCGTAACCATAGATAGATCTTTGTCTTTCGATGAACATGTGACATATATTATTCATCAAACTCAAATCGCTATATAAATTCAAGTACCAGTTATCAGAAGAAATGAAACCCAGGTTTCACATGGACATGCTGATAGCAAGTGCATTAGGGTCTCGGACGCCTCGCGGCAGGTTCTGCACCTTGTGTCAGGAACCTCTATACCCATCACTCGACTGCGGTAGACTAAGGTGTTGAAGACACCATCCCAGCAAGCCATGATGAACCCCTCAGTTTCCGACTTCAGCCCAATCGACCTGAGATAAGCGAAGGTTAGGCGCTTTGATAAGCCAAGGTCTCCAATGTTATTGAAGAAGACCCCATGCATTGGCTTATCTTTGTGTTTCCGCAGAAGTGAGGTGATCTCTGCGGCTTTTATCTGAGCTTTTTGCTGAACAGGTTCCAACTCGGTGACAGAGTGGTGGTCACCTCGTTCAGTGTCGAAAACTATACCGAAGTTTTTCCACTTTCACTGAAATAGTGAACCTTGTCATTTTCCAGCAGATTCATTGAGTGAATTCCAAACTTGATGATGAAGTAACATTCAGCAAGTAAACGTTATCTCTGATCTGGTATCCATTCTTATTGATCAACGGATGGCTACAATACAATAAAACTACTGTTACATATCAACAATAAATATAATATTTGTATGCACACAGTATTGTACTTCAATAAGACTCATTTATCTTCAGAAAGTACTAATTGTCGATTAAAACCACCAGTTTTTCTTCTCGACTAGTTTCGTTCCTATCATGTGGCAACTCATCTAGTAGTTCCAACTGTTTGTTTTTACATCTGAAGATTGCTCTGAATACTTGATTGAAATGTTTATTATACTTGAATAAAATAAAATAAATCAAAATTGGATTTGATATGAATGAGATTTCAGATAAAAATTTCGCAAAGATCAAAATCTCTTTCAAAGCACGGTAATCGCTGAAAATCTCAGATAAATGTACACTTATGAACAATGGTGAGACAGATAAAATTTCTGCATTTGTTACATAAATAACATATTTGCTCTCTTTGATTATGTTTGAGGAGACGATGAAGTACCTCAGAATATTCAAAAATATCGCAGCAAAAATTATCAGATCAATAGTAAAGATTATAACACGAAATCTGAGTGTTCTAAAGTGACAACTCAAAAATGTTGCTGTATATATAATTGTACCACAGACGTACATAGTGAAGATACAATTCGCTTTAAAGTTATCTCTGTATCTTGAAAACGATTCGTACTCAGAATTTATCAAAATCCAACCTGATAGTAGAAATATGACACCGATCATTCCTGTAGCAATCAAACTGTTAGGAATATCTGTAAGAAAACAAGATAAAGATTGAAACGCCCGGGTTTTCAAGAGTACAATATGAATTGTAGGTTGCAATACAAAAAACATCAAGTTACACCAGCTCACATGATAAATCACATTGTTTTCCCACGTATTCAAAATTTTGCATTTCCTTATTGCGTGGATTATGAAAGAGTTTGCGATTATACTGAGTGCCCATATGATGAGGATTATTTCCAACCTGATGATAGCCAAGGAACTCTTCGAGACGAGAACTGTGTCTTCTTCCTGTTCGATGAAGTCTTCCATGGAAGATGCATAACGAGTGACCGTTTTCTTGAAAATGTTGTCCAATTCCATCTGAAATTTTATATTCAGTGATAATGAATGACGTCAGAAGACGTGATTGAGTACGTTTTATTTATATTGTTATTATTTGTTCAGAAAGGTTTAATAATCAACGAAGTAACTTTCATTAATAATAATAATAGCCTTTATTACCCAACAGATAAAAACCATTCACAGGGTTAACTAAGTATGTTAAAAAAGTAATATCGATCCTTATAATTTCAAAGTTACAATTTGAGAAAATGAATGAATATTATAATATAATAAAAATAGTCCAATCAGTGTTGAAATTTCGTGTGTAATGAAAATGTTTCTGCATGCATACTATCGAAGAACGTGGAAACAAACAGTGAAGGATAGCTTTTTGTTGGATAAATACATTTTTACTCTTTGTAGAGTTGTCCCACAAACATACACCATGCCGCAAGATGGTTTCGACCTGGGCATGATAAACAGTCATAATTTGGTTTATCTTGAGAACATTTCTCAAGTTGATGAAAAGATAGGTTATAGAGCTCAATTTTGAAACAAGTGTGATCAACTCATTCCAAGAAAGACTCTCGTCCATTTGAATGCCTAGGAATTTAACAGGATCATGGGTGTTTCTCAAAATAGAGTCAATAACAATCACCTGAATATCATCGGTTTTATTCCGATAGTTGTGAATGCGGATCAACTGAGTTTTTTTCACATTGAAAAACAGGTCGTGACTTTTGAAATAGTTTGAAACTACATCCAGTGTATATTCAAATTTTCGTGTTAATTCTTTCGTCGCACCAAATCAATATCATCTTCATAGGCAGTTACTACAGAATATGGTATTTTACTGTGCATATTATTGATATATACTAGAAATAAGAGTGGCCCACGTATAATTCCCTGGGATACTCCCAGTTGGACCTACCTCATTTCTGATTTTGAAAACGAATAAACATCACCTTTGTCAAATTTGAGTGGAACACACTGCATTCTGTTGCTGAGAAAATATGAAACCCATGAATGTGAATTTTCTCTTATTACATAACGATTTGACTGTGTTACTCATACCAAGCTATTAGCTCGGTTTCATGGCTGTGTCCATTCGATCTCAAGGTCACTTCAAGGTATTTCAGTTCCCTCTCCAGATGTTCTGGTTTACATATTCTCTGAGCCCGTTCCGTTAGAGTGGAGATGACTCCTCTCTTTTGGCTAGGATGGTGCTTCGATAGTGCGTGCAAGTATCTATCTGTGTGTGTGGGTTCTCGATACACTTCGTGGGTTCTACTAGTACATCGTTCTACTAGTACATCTAGGAAAGCTATCCGTTGGTCCTGCTCAATTTCCATGAGGAATTCTATGCTCGGGTGTTGGGCGTTCAAGTGGTTTAGGAAACGGTTAAGGGCGTCTCTTCTATGTTTCCAGATGACGAAGTGAAATACCTTGAAGTGACCTTGAGATCAAATGGATACAGTACCTCCGAGACTCGAAAAGACATGAAACCGAAGGACACCACGGTTCAGAAAGCGAAAAAGGATCAGATGGTTGCACGCGCATATCTACCGCTTATCCCTAGAGTCACAGACAGAATTGGAAAACTATTGGGCAAACACGACATCAAAACAGTCTTCAAACCCACGAGGAGCCTCAGGTCGGCTAAAGACAAAAGAGACCCATTATCAGCAACAGGGGTCTATCGCATACCGTGCACATGTGGAAAGGTATATATCGGAACCACCAAACGATCCATGGGAACAAGACTAAAAGAGCATAAAAGGAACTGCAAACTAGGCCAAACGAACAAGTCAACTATGGCAGAACACGCACTTAGTGAAGAAGACCACAGAATTTTGTTTTAAAACACAGAACTAATTGCCCCCAACGAGGGATACCATAGCCGACTGGTACGGGAGGCAATAGAAGTTCAACAGAAAAGAGGAAGCGGTGAACCTCAATCGAATACGGAACCCCATTTTAAGGAATTCGAGAATAACGAACAGAACAACAGACAGCGAGATTGTTAATGTTCCAAGTTCAAGTGCAGATACGACTACAGGTACAAGAGCAGGTACGATTGCAGGTACGAGTACAGGTACAAATACAGGAACAGATACAACGGATTACCTGACAAGACATAAATACGCTTTACAAAGCCTAAAAGGTAGTCATCGGACAGCAAGCCATGATGGTTAAACATCTGAAAAAGCTAGCCACTCGCGCCAGCGAAACGTCAAGAAGAAATTCCAAAAATCCACGGCTTTCAAACTCGAAAAGCAATGACACTGAAAACCTCAGCCGTGAAAGTCTAAACCAGCAGGTATATGGTTCCAATCGTTCCAATGGAAGAGCCCAGCAGAGGCAAGAGTGAAAAAGGCTTTCTTCGATTACCGTGGCACCACATGGTCGTAGGTTAGCAAGGAGTATTAGCTTGAAGTTATGCGTCGCGTCGTTTACGAAAAGGAATACGTAGAAAACGTCCGGTATTTTGGAAAAACTACACCTTAATCATGCCTCAGCCACCGTATTCACCAGATTTGGCTACATGCGACTTTTTTTCTATACCCAAGATTGAAGAGACCCATGACAATACGGCGTTTTGCGACGATTGATGAAATAAAAACCGAATCCCTGAGAGATCTCAAGGACATACTGTTACGAGTATTGGAGAAAAAGCTGGTTTATTATATCTGAGGGTGGCAACTTCGAAGAGGACAAAATATAAATTGATGAATCAACTGAATACTTTTTGAGAAAAATTAAAATTAACCTAATTATTTGAACAGAGAGTATATTTATCATAAAATTTTGCTGATATCTGGTATCACGGATAGAACAACGGATTCAATGGGTTGCTGATTTGAAGATTTCAATATTTTCAACTTTTCCAGCACTACCAATTTTGTTGTACAACTTACTGATTGTGATGTTGTTTTCATCTTGGACGTTTTGCCTGGATTTGGAAATCTTTATTGAATTATTGAGTACAATTAATAGTATCGAAATGCTGAGCTGTAATTTTCAGCTGTACTGATTATATTTCCGGTATTAATTCATGAAAATACTCCAAACAAACTCCAAAGTAAAACAGAAGCGATGATTTACCCCATATCTGTGTACACTGTATCAAGTTAAATGATTTTAACTCTTGATGTTAGTAACTTTCTCAAATTTCATAAGCGAATACTGATGTCAAAATATTCCTCAACTGTTTCACTTGGTTCTTGGAAAATTTCTCCCCAATTCGTAATTAAGCGGCTCAAAGTTATATGCAGATGTTTCAACCCTCTCGTACTTTGGCTGTTTGCGAATCAATTACAATCAGTATTCAACCAAATATTTTCTCTTGAAACTTCGTTGCGGAAAGTTGCTCTTTCAACGAAATATTGGGTTTTTCAAAAATTAGGGTGGAAATAGTACTAATAAATCAGAAAATTTCTCCCCAATTCGTAATTAAGCGGCTCAAAGTTATATGCAGATATTTCAACCCTCTCGTACTTTGGCTGTTTGCGAATCAATTACAACCAGTATTCAACCAAATATTTTCTCTTGAAACTTCGTTGCGGAAAGTTGCTTTTTCAACGAAATATTGGGTTTTCCAAGAATTAGAGTGGAAATAGTACTAACAAATCTCCTACCAATCTAATGAAATCCATAATCTGCAGAAAATATGAAGGATGTTTTGATATATTTTGTATTCAGTTCATTCTACTATGATGATAATAAGACTAATTTTGTTTCGTTTGGGTACCTACGGGTGTATGTAGATGAGCTGAAATATGAGGTAACATACTGACAGCGCTACTAGCATCAAATCCATATGATTTTCAGTTAACCTTAACCTAGAAAAGTCACGTGTACAAATTTCACAGCTGTTCGACTATTACTTTGTGAGATAGAATTTTTTGAGTGAAGCAACTTCTGTTAGTTTGAAGGAAATAGATAAAATGGAAATGCGTCTGTTCATAAAGCATTGCAAAGACTTATTTCGAAATTTACAAACGAATGAAAGGTATTCAATGATAACTCCACAAACTATGTGATAACTTTCTTTGACGAAGATTCATTTAAACTATGATAAACTTTGTCTACCAAAATAGAAGAAAAAAATAAATGTCATTAGAATGGTTCTTCTATTATTGCAATCATCTGTTTATGAAATGAAGGGCATCTCGAGCAATCCTCTTTGCAGTATTGCTTTCAGATGGAATGGTTGAATTATTGAAATCCATAATAATCCCAGTTATGTTAAACATATTCACTCGAAACATATCTATGAGGAGCTAATCTACAACCACTCTTCTGCGAAGTTATTCGGCCTTTCAATGTTCTGGAAGTTTGGCTAACATACATTTTTCCACGAAAACAAGGAATGAAATATACTACCTCTGATTTACACATAAAGAGAGTTTTATTCTTGAGTTTGGAGAAAATGAAGTTGATGGTGAAAACTGTTTTATTAGCTATTTTATAATATCGAAATTATTGAAAATTTGAGCTCGTTTTGATGTATCAGTAATGAGGACCGTTAGACCAGGAGATGCTGAAATATTTTGGTAAGTAATTTCTTACAGTATGGCACTTTTAGGGTGGTTAATATATGTAATAAGTGAAGCGAAAATGATGTTCTTACCGGTGGTGCGCAGAACGCAATTCCAGAATAATTAATAGAAATTGCTCGAAAATTCGGAGGTGTCAAACAATTTCTTACACAAAATGTCTTCAATTCATCGGTATTTCAACAAAAAAAACTGGCGCTCACTATACAGGGTGTTTCAAATTCGATCCTCAACATTGAGATCTCGGAAACTATGAGATATTTTTTGCGGATATCTCCGGATATAATCGGAATTTCAGAACTTTCTCAACGGTTTATTGTTATTCAGGTAAATGCGCAACTTTGCCCCAATTTAACCCTCTTCGTATCTCTCATAGTTTCCGAGATCCCAATGGTGAGGATCGAATTTGAAACACCCTGTATGGCATAATTCTCCGGTGGGTTTTTAGGCTCGTCATACTTTTTTGAAAATGTTAGTCTCATTATTTTTCGAATCATTTCTTACAGGCTGATTTTTTTCAAACAAATTTTTTTATTAATCTTGTACGAAAATCACCATTCCGACGGTCCAAAATACTTGCCACATCTACCTCAAACATGTCATTTTTCAAAATTCTTAAAACTGTTTCAGAACGATGATTAAATCATGGTCAGTTCAACATACAGTGGGACACAATTATATTTGCCATACTTCTCGTGCAGTACAAAAGTGGTGACGTACTTGAAAAATGGTATTTTCAACCGTTTTTAAAACACGTCTATAGAAGCCGTAATATTATTTTTCACAGTAAGGAATATATCAAATCAGATTGTTTTAATACGACTATAAATTTTAAAAAATACGCCAAGGGACGAAACACCGTGATACGTATGCTGTGATAAATAAAAAATAAAACGATTTCTCACAGTATGGTACGACAAGCACAAAAAAACACACATAAACCCAATAACATACAAATCAAACCTAGCAACACACGTCATACAATCAAACATAATTTTCCCCACCAGAACACATCAAACTCATAAAACAAGTCAATAAAGGAAATCGTATGGAAATCTGATAAAACCTAAACATCCCTAAATTCACTCATCGAGGAACAAATAAAAATCAAAACATAACAAGACCTAACATTCACAAAAAAATACACGATCCTGGTAACAATGAACCTAGAGAAACACCAACACGAAGAATTTCAGCTATTGTAACCCAAGTTCAGGCAAATTCAAAGAGACATTCGAATAAAAGAAAAGGACAAATATCCATCGATAAATTGAAAAACATCATTTTCCTCTCACTTATTACATATAAGAACCTCCCTAAAAACACATACTGTAAGAAATGACTCACCAAAATCTTTCACCATCTCCCAGTATATGTATTCGCTTGGAAACAGGCAAATTTTCTCTACTGCGGAGACCAGTGACCAGTTTAACGCAGCATTCAACACTCAATTTTATGTCTGAAGGATCAACCCCAATATAGTTTATATGAGATACCAGTGAACGTCGAGAAATAGTTCCATCCAATTTAAGTTCTGCAACCCAGATGCGAAAAGACACATATTCCAAACAAGTATTTATATATATTTCAACTTGAAAGCCGTATCCTGAAGCCCAACAGTATTTTTAAAGGGTTCAGAGCAAATGTATGTATAGCGACTCATTCACCTCACGAAATGAAATAATTGAAAACCGTCATATAACATCTCATAATTTGATTAGATATTGAAACAGTCGAAATTACTCCTCAGAGTACAGAACCAGTAGGAAAGAAAAACATTTACTGGTGACTTTTCTATATGCTCTTTACAAAGGCGTTGTTGAAAAAATACTGAAATTTTTCTCTAGAAACTCACTGTTATAACTTTGGTAGATGTGGTCATCTTCAATGAAGGGCCTGAAAAGTATTTGTTTTAGAACAAACCACAAGTTCTTCAGGAAATTCCTTAAGTCGCTCTGAGAGCGGTGTCTGTGCGAAAGTTGTGATTCACGATGAATTTCACTAGTTGGGACTTCCATTGTCTAATATATAAAATGATTTGAAATCCTTGAAACAATTGAAAAAAAGAAAAATCCCAGCAGAGAGAGCTAAACGCATGTTAAAACGTGCCAGCCAAGCACTGATAAGGTCTCAAATCAATTATCATCAGTGAAAGAGGTCAACTTTGCTGCAGGATGCCACGGAACGATTTGAAGAAATACGAAGATAGACATTGGAAGAGATGATCATGGATCAATCTTCGCCAAGATTAAAAACACGTGCTTGAAGATCCGCCAAGACATGGAGAATATCCACAACAGAAAGTGGAGATAATTAGTCAGGGAATAATGCCCAATCACAGACCGAAAACAGGACAACTATGAAGCCGCCAACGTCATCAACATGAATTTCCGCCCGCTCACGGTAATAGAGGAATCCTTGTTGACGAAATGCCTAAATTTCGCCATTGCGCCAACATCTGTTCCCACTTTGGAGATAATTACAGCAGTGGAATCCACCAGTTTCCTAATTGACCAGACCGAGGCAGAAGAATTCAGATGGAAAATCAGAGAACAGCTGGATCGAAAACCAATTCCAACATCTAACATCAGCAATGAAGAACGTAGAGCTCTAAACGGCCTACGTAGATACAACACAATCAAGATCCTACCTGCAGATAAAGGAAACGCTACTGTGGTAATGGATACTGTTCTCTACGAACAAAAGATTGAAGAGGTTCTTCAGAAGGAACGATGCACAAAGATCGTACGGGACCCTAGTGCTTCAATTGAAAGGAAGTTGTACCAGATTTTGAAAGTACACCAAGTCTATTTTTCGGACAGAGAAAGATCATCGCTAACACCGCACCACAGTAAGCCCCCTCACTTGTATGGATTGCCCAAAATCCACAAGAAGGACGTTCCACTCAGACCAATAATCAGCTCCAGAGATTGGGCTACTCAAAACTTTTCTAGATTTTTACTTCTCATAATACAACCATTACAAGGTGGAACATCGTCTTTTGTGAAGAATTCAAGGCATTTTGTCGAACTACTAGGGTCAATTGAAGTTACACAGGAAGATCAACTAATTAGTTTCGACGTGGAAAGCCTTTACGTCAACGTTCCGGTCGAAGAAGCACTCCAAATCATACAGAGAANTTCATCGTGAAACATTTGTCAATCACCTTCAAACAAAAGTAATGATTCACATTGGATTTGAATCGCTGGAGATTAAATTCATTTGGAAAAACGTTCTCAGGAAGTTCATTCCACATGAACGCAGTTCTCCAAATGGAAAAGTTCTTGAACAGTGACGTTTGCCACACCCACAGTCCGTCGCGTGTTTCTGATATGTACCGCTCTTGGTGGAATCAAATTTACCAAGTCACTTGAACACTTCCCGTGAAAGTATCTATGGAAGAGAGACGAATCTCTAACCTTTCTTCGATAGTCCAGACTATCAAGGTTGCAGCTTTTGAGATGAAGTCTTTGCAATTTCAGCGACATGATTGTGCCAACACAATGAGTCGATGAAATACAATAAAAAAGGGTTGGAGACAATATGGATTCCTGGGGAACACCAGCGTTGATGGTGATAGTGTTCAAGAGACATTCATCGACAGCCACTTACAGGGAAGTTTCAGGAAGCTGACGAGCTATAAACAAAAATGATACGACAAGCCATAGCATCGAAGTTTGGCCAGCAAAGCCCCCTGCCACACGCGGTCAAAGGCCTTAGAAATATCAAGCGCAACAACTCTGGACTCTCCATGTTTCTCGATAGCCTTATTCCAAATATGGGTCGCCTGTTGATCTTTGATTCTGAAAGCCATATTGATGATCGCTTAAGATGTTGAAGCCTGCCAAATATTTGGTAGTTTAGGGCTTTTTCCATGATTTTTGATATCACTGATAGCGAGTATAGTAGACGAAAGTAAGCTGGATGATGAAAACCTCACTACTATCAACTAGCAAAATGGAAAAACTTTTGAAACAACCTAGAACCTCCGATGGCATTCACTATTTTATTCTCTTTTTCTGTTGAGTATTCCTAAGCTATTCTCTAGTTTATGTTATCGCACGTCGAGATTGGTAATGAGCACTTTTTTTCCATAATCTTATTAGGTTAGCTTCCTTCTGAATAAACAAAACACACACCCACCTTAGAAACTGCCAAACTACGCACTTAAATTCAAACAATGTCAATTCAAAGCTGTTCAAGAATTATCGTCAACAAACTAATAACTATTCGCCTACTGATACAACAGTCTTTTCTCATTGACGATTCAACTGCATAAGTTTTACTATTATGAACATCCTTCATTTCGAAGTCATTGAAAAATTAAATTGTCTATTATTTGAGAGGCAGTGAATTGGACAATATGCACGTCAAGCCTGTCGCTGGGGCTCGCAAATTATCGCAATAAGAAAGTCGGCAGTGAGTGCACGTATTTTCTGAAAGCTTCTGTTGAGATAATTATGTTCCGTTCAAGCTACAGGGGTAAGCCAATCTAATAAACAAAAAATTTGTATGAAGGTGGTTGACAATTTTTCATGGTGAATTTCATTAGTTCGGATTTCCATTGTCTAATAAAATATGATTTGAAATAATAAAGAATAGCTGAAAGTAACAATTATATTGAGCAAAAAACCCTGACATGAAATAATAATGCAATAAAAATAAAAATTAATGAAGAACATCCAACTAAAAAGTTTTTTAGTTTTTTTGAACTATATTTATTATACACTTTGTTCAGCTCAGATAACTCAGTTAACCTTCTACTGATTTTTCTCAACTCAGTAGTTATCCACCTGGAATCTACATATATAAAAGTGTATAATTATTAATTTTTATTGCAAAGCGCTTTCGACTTTCGTCATCATCAGTGGTCACCTGGAAGTAAGTGATCTAATTAAAAAGAAAGTTTTTTTATGAAATAATTTTTTTTTATTTTGAGGTTATGACTTTAGAAAATTATTGATGATTACTTACTTATCAGGCAACAGGAAGTATCGAAAAACGAGGACATATTACATTAGTAAGATTTGATTTGTATAAAACTTATTAGCCTATTAACCAATGAAACACATGTTAGAGATTGAGGCCATGTGGTTCGGTCAAAATGTGATATGAATAAAGGACAACTTGTGACAGAATGTGTCAAGTGTCATATTGAAAATATTAGTATCAACTTGAGGAGGGATCCACTATGGATTTAAAAAAAATCTTGTTGTGGAGAAGCCAATATGAAATTATATATATTTTATTAATAAATTTTTAATTTTTCAATCACAATTCATAATTCTTCTATGAAGGGGGAGGAAATTTCTGTATAAGTTTACTTGAGTATTCAGGCAGTTATAATTATTAGAAAGTTCTTTGGAATTGTTTGGAATTATAGAGAGCATGCTTTGTTTTCCATTTCATTTTTATTCATACAATGTACATGTTTTCAATTTCTTTATCTTTCTATGACATTCCTTGATCATTTTTCAAATGAAGTATCTTAATTTGGAATACAAAAGAGTTGTATGAAATTGCAAAGACCATAGGAATATAAATCATCTCCACTAAAAAAATATGTACGTTTTCATTCATTTATTCAATATTGGAATTATTTACAGTATCAAAGCTTCATGGTCAAGATTCGAATTATAATTATCAGCATGAACATAAGTGTTTTCAATGTCATTATTGCCAATGTCAGAATCCTCACTCCGTTCGTCTTCCCTATAAACATTAGTTGATCTCTTGAAACAAAGAGAACACGCTACTTTGAATTCTTTACTTCCCTTCCAGAATATATACAAAATCAAGAGAAAATGGAAACATCCTATCGATTCAGGAAGAACTGATGTATATAATAGAAAAATGTCGAGTAGAATATGATTAAACGAATACGTTTCAATAATATGATAAAGAAAGAATGGGAAAAATGAATATATGCTAATATTAGCGATAGTTAGAGCATATGAAGTTTTACTGTTGGTGTTTTTGAGGGCAAACTTTCCAGCAAGAATATTCACAACCAAAAGTGTGACTGAAATGGTTATGAAAAAACCGACAATGAAATTAAAATTTCTCAACATCGCCCAGAATGAGTGTATTGTACAACCTGAGGAGTCTACAATGACAATTATGAAGGCAATAACATATATAACTGCGATTACAAATTTGAAATACTTATCTAGGTTATCAGTCAAATAGGGCTTATAACAAGACGTAAACCAATCAATGGCCAATCCTAAACCGAATGAAATATATAAACAAAAAAGAATGTATTCCATTATAGTATTAAAACATAACCAGTCAAGTGTATTTGAGTTACCGACGTTTCTAATCAAATAAGTTATTATCCGTAACAATTGTTTCGATAAATCTATAATAGAACAATTCAAGATATACAAATTTAATCTAGATCTTAATTTTTTATGTCTGAAAAAGTTGTACAAAATAAATATATGCAGAGGACATATTACAACGACAATAATCAAATTCAATATGATGGAAGAAATGAAATGGAAAGTAAAATAGTTTTCGAGAGCACGAGCTATATTATCGTCGGTTGGCCACCCTTCGATATCCTCAAAAGGGTCAACATCTGCTTCTGATGCGTTGGAGAAATTTTGTAGTGATTCTTCAACCATTTTCTGAGCATCTGTAACAAAATGACGGTATGACATTTTTGAATAAACATCCAGAAAAACAATGCAAATAAGGAGAATCAAGCACATTTTTTCAAGAAACAAATACTCAAAGCACCCTTGGTTACAGTATTCCAATATTATTGCAATTAATAATGATAATGATGGTTCACCATAGCATCTGGTCAAGCCAGAGTTCAAACAGAGTGGGTCACTTTCAGAAGGGGTGTATTTCAGGGCGATTCCCTCAGTCCCCTTCTCTTTTGCATCTCATCATTGCCATCAACCGTTGAGCTCAGAAATATTCCAGGGTATAACTTTGGCACCCCTGGAAACCGGAGGCTCAAGGTCACCCATTTGCTTTAAATGGATGATCTTGAACTTTATGCCTCTGGAGAGAAGGATCTCCACCAGTACTTGGGGAGTGGTGGAAGAGTACACGCATGCTATCGGTACGAAATTCGGGATAGTCAAATGTGCAATGATCCATCTCAAAAGAAGACGATGCGTGGACTACGGATAGGATGTGCAGCTCGTAGATTGAAGCATCCTACACCATTTGGATGCCGGAGAGATGTATAATTATCTTGGGGTGGAGCAACGCCGCTCACAAGAGGTAACAACAGTAAAGAACTCTCTCCGCGGCAAGTATCAGTACAAACTTCGACAAATCTGGTCATCGGAACTGTTTAGGAAAAACAAAGTTGCTGCAACAAATATGCTTGCCGTTCCAATCTTACTCTACTTTTTGGAGAAGTGAAGTGGACTCAAGAGGAACTGTATCAACTCGACGCAAAGACCCGAAAAATGATGCATCTCTATAGGAGTTTTCATCCCAAATCGTCCGTTCCACGATTTTACTTCCCCCGACAACAGGGACACCGTGGACTTTTGAGATTGGAGTGTCTACATGACAAAATGGTACTGGATATAGCCTGTAAAGTCGTCAGGATTTCGAATCCTCTCCTCTGCATGGTCTGTGACCATGAGAGAGAGAGAGAGAGAAAGAGAGAGAGAGAGGGAGAGAGAGAGAGCAGGAATTGAAGCATTTCTCTTTAGAGCAGCTGCCCGAGCAGCTGATGAACTCGGTTTAGTTTTCGACACTGAACGAGGTGACCACAATTCTGTCACCGAGTTGGAACCCGTTCAGCAAAAAGCTCACAAAAAAGCTGCAGAGGTCACCTCACTTCCGCGGAAACACAAGGATGAGCCTTTAATAACATTGAAGACCTTGGCGCCTGACTTTCGCTTTCCTCAGATCGAGTGGGCTGAAGTCGGAAACTAAAGGAGTTCATCATGGCTTGCCAGGACGGTGTCTTCAACACTTCAGTCTACCGCAGTCGCGTGATAGGTATAGATGTCCCTGACAAAACGTGCAGGGCCTGCCACGAGAAGCCTGCGACCCTAATGCACTTGCTATCAGCATATCCAGTATATGCGGTCTGGGCCTATATCCATCGACATAACGCGGCCTCAGGATTGCTATATTACCATCTACGGCACTCTTACGGTATTGACGAGACACCGGTGTTTGCCCTACGCTTCGGAGTATATTGAATCCGTCGTGGGGAACGAGAAGTACAGAATTCATTAAAACTATTCGTTTCCCACCCTCAGGCTCATACAAGTTAATACGCCTGATGTAGTCCTTCTCGACCACCAGAGCAAAACGATATTTATGGTGGAGTTTTCAGCTCCTGGCAGACGAATATCGTCCGAAAAGAGGAGGAAAAACGGATGAAATATCGAGATTTTCTCTTCGAAGTCCGCAGACTCTATCCAGACCACTCTGTCAAGATAGTTGTTGTGATTATTGGAGTTCTTGAGGAATGACCTGTACTCTCAAATCTTAAAATCATACCGGCTTGCCGCAGTAAGGAAGAAATCTTAGTCGGACAGATGCAGAAGACTGTCATTCTCGGCTCACTGCGCTTGCTCTGGGCAAATGATTTTTGAGCCCAATGATCACTTACCCCACAGTATGCGGAGTGGTCATTGGTTGATGATGCTGGCGCGCCCTCCCGAATGTATCGAAGGATAGGGCCTGACCAGCGCACACGACGGTGAATAATAATAATAATAATGGTTCCATACAATTATTCAATATCTGCGTATAATAAATCATCGCAGAGATTACTCTTCCATCCAACTGTCAGAACAAAAGGGAAAGAAGAAAACAGTATGCTATCAGGATCAGTGCAACAGTATAGGTATACAGCGAAATCGAAATACAAAATATAAATATTTTTTGTGCTTGGAGAAAGGTTGATTGATTTCGACATAATTCGATAAGTTGGACCTATTTATTGTAAGAAGATATTTTTTTATCGTTCGTTTGAAGTTTCCTAATGGCAGAGGTTTATATTCAATGGGTATCCAATTATATGAGTAGGCAATATGGTAAGTGAAAGATCCGCGAAATAGAAAAGTTTTATACTAACGTATTCTAAAAACACTTTATTGTGTGATTTTCACTAGACAGTTTTACAAAAACGCAACACGTGTTTCGCCATACAATGGCTTCCTCGGGCGTGTCTTAATAACTAATTCTTCACATTGTATGCTATATATACCTCATTCTACATAAAAGATATTTTTTTAGAAAAGATAAGAGGGTATTTTGTTTTAAGGAGTTTTTGAACAAATGTTGCAGAATGGAATGTCGTCTAGATTCCATATTCAACCAAGCGACATCCCCAATGGAAAATGTGTTCTCGTTTCCTCGTACCTGTAATGATACTAATGTATGCATTCTGGAGCTTTTGCATTCTCAAACTGTCACTATTCAAAATTCCCGGACCATACACGTAGCTGGCATGTGAAAGAACTAAGGCATCGCAAAGTATGTTCTCACTTTTTTTATTCAGAAATACTCTGTTGGAATATATTGTTCAAATTTACATAACTCCGTTTCAGAATTTGCGAACTGTTGTTAAGATATAGGCCCAAGTTTTTTGTAACTCCTTTCAAGGCAAGTTCTGTTCCGTCTATTACAATGTTTATGAGGCCAGAACGATGATTTCTCGCCGCTGTTCTACCAACGAGCATGACATTAGATCAAGATGCATTAACAGATAGGCAATATTTATTTGACGAAGATAATGACACATCGAGAGCGGTATTAATTTGCCATAGCGCCTGAATTCTCGTCGAATTCCATGTACAGCTGAGTATTGTCGGCATAACAATGCATGGTTGCGAATTGCAGTGACCTATGAAATTGAGATGTGTATAAAACGAACAAGAGAGGGCATAATATTGAACCTTGAGGAACACCGTTTTAATTTGTATTAAATCAGATTTTTTTGGTCTTGCTCAGTCTCCATGGTGAATTCTATGCTCGTGTGTTGGGCGTCCAAGTGGTTTGGGAAACGGTTCAGGGCGTCACTTCCATGTTTCCAGATGACGAAGGTGTCATCCACGTAACGTAGCCACAAGGTCGGCTTCAATTTAAAAGTGTCTATCGCCTACCCTCCAAACCGTTCCATGAAATAATTTGCTATCACTGGGCTAAGTAGACTCCCCATCGCAACGCCATCTAGTTGCTAGTTACTTTCAATGCTAGTTAATTTCCGAATAGTCCTATCTGTAGAAAATATTTAAGGGAACTTGTATCCAAATTCACAACCACCGATAGTGTACATAACAAAAAGCCCCCAGGTCAACCGTTCATTCCGGAAAAAAAAACAAGTGCAAATAATTGGTGAGAGGGTAGTAAATCCTGAACAGAATCCATACAAAATTAAAATGGTACACCAATTAACTGGAGATGACCCTGATTGAAGAATCTGCAAAATCATGACGGAAACCAACGGTAATGTTCACAGACAAAATTGCCGTTATTGGAGTGACATCAACACTCACGTTTTCCGGGAAACACATACCCAATATCCATAAAAAATTAACGTTTGGGCAGGAATATTGGGAAACCATATTGTAGGTCCTCTATTTATTGATCAAAATTCAACAGGGGAACTGTATTTAAACATGATGGAAACTACTGTTGACCCTCTCATCACTGAAATCGTCGAAATGAATACTAATGAAGTCGATGTGTCTATTGTATTCCAACAAAATGGAGCACCACCACATCACTCCAGATAAGTAAGAAAATATTTAGATACTACCTTTCCCGGTCGTTGGATTGACCGTCAATGTCATACAAAATGGCCAGCCCGCTTGCCAGATTTGACACCTTTGGACTTTTTTCATAAGGCTATTTGAAGCAAAAGGGAACCTGCTTCAATATCATTATATACGGCAGAGAATAATAAATATTTACATTGAATAAAGTTTTGTCAGTTATTCGTGAAGACAGTTTTTTCCTGATATGAGAAGAACTCGATTATGAAAGATATTACATGAGCTGAATTTCACTTTTGGAAAGCAGGATAAAAAAACATGTTAGTAGAAAAATCAGAGATTGTAGAATGGAAAAGAAACTATTTAAGAGAAATAAAGAAAGCCAGAGCACTAGGTGAATCTATTTTTTATTTGGATGAAACCTGGGTCAATGAGGGTCATACCGTCTCGAAGGTTTGGCAAGATCAGAACATCAAAAGTGGAAGGCANTTTATTACTTTTGTGCCTGATATATTTTTAAAGTACTTCCACGGGGAGACAGACGGAAGCACATTACAAGCCACCTGCGCTTAGGCTGCTTTCCTCAAACTCCTAGTGGTCCTAACCATAATATTAATAAATTGTATATTAACATATTCCAAATATTCCAAATGAATAAAGAAAGCCAGAGTACTAGGTAAATCTATTTTTCATTTCGGTGAAACATGGGTCAATAAGGGTCATATCGTCTCGAAGATTTGGCAAGAACAGAACATCAAAAGTGGGAGACAAGCCCTTATGAAAGGTTGGTCCACTGGTTTGAAAATTCCAGTTGGAAAAGGTCGTCGTCTTATCATCACTCACATAGGCAGCAGTGAAGGATTCATGAAAGATGGATTGGTGGTGTTTGAATCGAAGAAAAATGGGGATTATCATCAAGAAATGGATGCCA